AATGTTGATTGTTCTTCTTCCTTTAAGTCTTTGATGGTAAGTTCTTGAGCACGCAGCACATATGACTTCGCACCTCTGTTCCTTTCTTTCATCAGTGTTTTAATCTTCAAAATCCAGGGTACAGTTTTCGTCAGCCAGTATTAACTTGAGTAATGTCCGAATAACCTGGATATGGGATTCTGTTAATCAAAGGTAGGTGTAAAATAAACAGCTGCAATCTTCTTTATTTCAGGGTCCTCGGGTTGCAATTGAGTATCATAAGGATGACATTGCTATGCCTCAGGCCCTCTGATCCATCTAGCATCTAGTTTGATCTCTTGAGCATTCATCAGCTGGATTGAGACTGCTCTTAACATATACCCCGTTACTCGGTTTGGACCCTTCATGTATTACAGATTGTTAACCAACAAATGTATGAAAACGTTCTGTCTTGTTATTGGTGTAACACAGAACAGATTGACGATGTCTCACTTTGATTAGATTGTCCATGTCCCTTTGTAACATCTTTTTTTTTCAATCGTACAGAATGGTCCCTGAAGTCAATTTCAAACACGGGATAGTTATATTCTGTAGTGGGTTCTCCCTAGCCTTTGCTGAAAACAGCGCACAATGAATTTCGTCTTCTGGTTAATATTTTCTCTCTAATTTCCCTTCTGAAGCAAAGAATGTCTTCCTTTATATTCCACTGCAGGCCTAGTGCATGGTCTGTAGAAAGCTATATGGAGAATGAACGGTAACAAATAGTCAGAAATATATATTTACTCTACGCAATGTTTGTGAATATATTTACCCGACTTGAACTTGCCCTCTCACAAGTTGCACCATCGCCATAAATGACTTGTTTATTTTACTTTACACAGTTTAGATCAGTAACTATACACATAAACAATAAGCAAGCATGTTGGTATCTGTGTACAATGGAAGATTTACATGTGTCATCATCGCCGGGACAACGTAGTTCAACAATACGAGGATGGCAAATATATATGATACGTAACAGGTTATGTATTACCTTCGTTATTAGTTCTGTCGTTACGGAATGCCTGCGATCATGCTCAGATTATGGACGTCCATGCTCAGATCAATATGTTATGGAAGTAGGCCTGACTGGATCGTTATACACATTGACGCTTCGGGCGATTAGTGTTATTATCTTAAATAAAATAAATTGCGAGGGTTTCTGCAAACATAAACTATGCACGTGACCCGAAAATACAACTTGAATTTTTAAAATCACGCCCGGATTCTTATATTTGTAATGATTCCGATTGTAGTGCAGTTCGCCGGTGATTGCGGTGCAGTTCGCCTGCAGACTGTACGCCACGTGGGATTCGACAAACGCGCTGTAATTTGTTGGATATTTCCATGTTTAATAATGTGCTGTACACATTTGATGATGGTCAATTTTAATGAAGTAAAGCTATTCAAACGCAATATTTCTAGGTCAAAGATCGGCCTTTTCATGTGAGCTACGAAATAAAGGAATTCGAGTTCAAAATCAAATTAAAACCTATTAATGCTATGTATTTCGCATTTTCATTGTGATGAACCAGATTATATGAAACAAGTACGCTATCTGCGATGGCGCATGTCAACCAAGACGCCTAGGAACGAGCAGTCACCAGGTATATGCTATAAATACAAGTAATCGAATGATGCTCTCAATATGGTATATGGTATATGTTGAAATAATAGCAAATAGAGACTTAAAGTACACACTGTAAACTAACCATGAATGTAAATTACGTTAGTTTGGCGCTATTGTTGAAGACAATTACTTGATTGTTGTAAACGCAACAGTTGTCATTATAAGCTCGCATTATTGTATTTAAGATGATAACCACAGTTACGGAGTTGCAATTATCTATATTTAATTCATCGTATGTTTACTTTTGTACGTTTGTCCTGAAGTTGTCATGTCGTTCCCATTCTTTGAATTCCGATACAATACTTTTGCAAAGTATCGAAGGACAGTAAATTTCTGCGGTTTAAATGCGAATTGCATTATAAGTCGTTCTTATTACATCTCCGCCAGTATGATAGAACTATTAATTACAAGCTTAGTGTATTTTGGTCGCTTTCCACCATCTGTTTTCAGATACACATGCCATGTAGTTTAAATAGCAATTATCATAACCACGATATCATATAATACTAAGGCTTCTTTTTAACATAGTATTGGCAAAAACGTTCTATGTGAATCTTTCTACAGTTAAAACATTTCATTTTTATTGATAAAGTTCCTGTTGCTTAATTTGAAAAAAAGTGTTTCATGTGCTGTCGTATTGTTTCATAATCATTTTCATGGAATAAATTATTGTTGATTACACTAATCTTTATTAATGATGGCGAATATGAACTAGCTGTTTCTTCTTTTTGAAGTACCAGATGAACAGCTTATCGCCCAGCATTGTTGTATTTGCATGTGTTCATTCTGTAATACTCAGTTCTGAGAAAGGTCTAGATAATACCTGACACCCATATCCGATATTTGATATATGCTTAATACAACAGATCAGCATTCGAGTTGCGAAGTTCTATTGTCAAATGTTGGCAATGTTGATTTTGTTAAGATTCTTTCCGTGTCCTGCCTATATCATGTCATAACAGGTATAATTACATAGAAATATGTCATCACGCTTAATTAAGCCTTCGCTTATAAATTGTTAAGATATCCGCTCTGACTTA